TGCCAATCAGGACTGTGATTGGAGTCATGGTTCTTATATATATGTCCTGCTCTAATTGGTTTCTACCTGGACATGCCCTAAGTTGAAAGATCAAAAACCTCATTATTTCACATTAAACACTGGAACACTTGAGCCCACAGCATCTGAATGCAAAAGCCCTGAATTAGGCACAGTGATTTGAGAAAGAGAGTAAACAAGATAGGGATTGGGAGGTAGGAGGTAGACCATGCTTGTAACTATATAGTCATCTGTAAGTAACCGTATTTGTAATTAGTTAAATCAATTGAGGGAAGGGTGCAGTGGGGGGAAAATATTCTATCAAAAAATAAAATCCCTGAAAAATAAGTTTGTAAGCATATAGGTAGTATTTGATTTGGGGGTATTCCAAATGAATTTTCAAATTAATTCTTCTTACTACATATGAAATATCAATAAATGATTATAAAATCCAAGTATAATTTGTTTTAATTTTGTCATCCAAAATCTTACCCCAGGGAACTCCTATAATCATTTTGATGCTTTATTTTTTTCAATAGGTAGGTTTGTATTTTGAAAACAAAATGGGATCATACTGGATATAGTTTTATAGCCTACATTTGATTTAACAATTTATCCTAAATAGCTTCTCGTATCCATAATAGCCCTCTTTGACAAATTTCTAGTGGCTGTCTGGTATTCCAACTCAGGGTTAAATCCTCTCACTATGCTTATTCAGTCTGTATGCTAAGCAAATCATCAGAGAGCTGAATTATATGAAGAACAATGTGGCATCAGAATTGGGGGAAGGTATATTAACAACCTACAGTGTGCAGATGACCCAACCTTACTTGCTGAAGATAAGGAGGACTTCAAGCACTTTCAGATTGTAACCTTCAGGGTGAATTACAACTCAATTTAAGAAAACAAAAATCCTCCCAACTGGACCAGTAAGTAACATCATGATAAATGGAAACAGATTGAAGTTGTCAAGGCTTTCATCTTGCCTAGATGCACCATCCATGCTCAGGGAAACGGCAATCAAGAGCTGAAATAACCAATTGTGTTAGGTAAATCTGCACAAGACCTCTTTCAAGTCTGAGGAGCAGTACCACTTGCAAGGTGGGCCTGGCCCAAACCATGAAGTTTTCAAATGCCTCATATGCATGTGAAAGTTATAGAGGTCTAGATAAAGACATGTGCATATGCAAATATATTTATATATGAGGATGGGGAAATAGATCTATGTGCCTATATGTATAGGTTTAGTATTAAGGTAGCAGAAGGACATTAGGCTTCCACTCAAGTACTCCCTCAATGCAAGAATACTTTCTTCTATTAAATTGGCATTCTAT